AAAAAAAAAAAAAAGAAAACTGTAATACATTGATGAAAGAAATTAAACAAGACACAAACAAATGGAAAGATATGTGTTCATGGATTAGAAGACTTGGTACCCAAAGCCATCTACAGATTCAATGCAATCCCTGTCAAAAGCCCAATGCCATTTTTTTACAAAAATAGAAAAAACAATTTAAAAATTCATATGGAACCCCAAATTACCGAATAAATCTTGATAAAGAAGAACAAAACTGGAGACATCATACTTCTTAATTTTAAGCTATAATAATTGAAACATTGTGGTACTGGCATGAAGACAGATGTATAGACCAGTGGAACAGAATAGAGAGCCCAGAAATGAATCCACACATATATGGTCAACTGATCTTCAAAAAGGGTGCCAAGAATATACAATGGGGAAAGGGTAGTCTCTTCATCCAGTGGTGTTGGGAAACCTGGATATCCACATGCAAAATATTTCAATTGAACCCCTATTTTACATCATACACAAATCAACTCAAAATAGATTAAAGGCTTACATAAGACCTGAAACTATAAAACTCCTAGAAGAAAAGCTTCATGACATTGATCTTGGCAGTGATTGCACGGATACCAAAAGCAAAGGCAACAACAGTTTTAGGCAAAGTGAAATAAGCCAGTCACAGAAAGACACTGCATGATTCCACTTATATGAGGCATCTAAAGTAGTCAGATTCACAGAATCAAAGGGTGGAACAGTGGTTGCCAGGAGTTGGGGAGATGAGAAAATGGGGAGTTACTAATCAATGGCCATAGAGTTCATTTAAGCAAGAGGAATAAAGCCTTAGAGATCTAGCTGTATAACATTGTACCTATAGTCAACGATACTTTACTGAACATTTAAAAATTCGTTAAGAGGTTAGATTTCATGTTAAGTGTTCTTACAACAATAAATAAAATAAATTTTAAAAAATATGTAATCCAAACCTTCTAAAACTGTCATCCAAATTATCCCAAAGAGTATTTCTAAATCAGGCAAGCAATGTGGTCATTAAATAAAAAGCTAGATACATGTTTGAGCTAATATATTTCTTGGGGCCAAATTTATAATCTACCAAAATTCTGTTTAGTAAGCTTCATGTGTATTTTATAGAACAGGTTGAATTATTAAAAATTACCATTATTTGACGATGTTGACCAAAAAATTAAAATACATTGCTGGCTGTAGTATACAAAATAACGCTCTATTTCTTTTTCTAAGACTGAGTAAAATAGACTATTAAATATTTATTAAAATAAAACCCACACAGAGTTGAGGATGCAAGACAAAGTGCTTAGCAGGGCATAGGTGACTCTTCATTAGCAAATCTATTGTCTGTCTTTCCTGATGCTCTTTTCTTCTCTTTCCTTAAATGTTCTTCATTCCAAAGTACGCTAGTTTCTCCAAAAACTTCAACATCTACTCCTCCCTCTCCCCACCTATACTCACACTGTTGTCATGGATTGGAAGGCCCTTACTGTCCCTGGCCCACTACTTTTTTTGTCCTCCTATTCAAAGGTCACTCCCCTGTGGAGACTTTGCTGTCAGCTGCCATCTCTCCTCCAGTCTAATGGGTGGGACCCCTGCCTTCACACCTCATGCACATCTCTATCCAGCACTTAATTCTCATTTTGTAAAGATTGGTTGGTTGACTTGCCTACTGCCCCCACTGGGGTGCAAACATTATGAGAAAGTATAGATTTATTAAATCTATATTACAGAGCTCATTTCATAGAGAAGTAGTGATACAAACTTGTTTTTTTACACATAACAACTGGAATGTCTCTAATTTGGGAAGTAAAGCTAATCTCTACTTGGTCTTTTACTGACATATTGTTTTAACAATAGAAAAACTTAAGTTTTTCTTCCAAGAAATTTTCTGAGGTAAAGTGGGTTTTTTTTTTTTTTCTCCTTCTTCTTCTTCTGTTGTTGTCAGTTTATGTTTAAGGAAGGCGATGTCTTGCCCTAGGTTAGCAGGCAAATTAGCAGTAGATCAAGCCAGGATTAAAAACTACTTGTTTTTTCCATATTTGTTTAGTCAAAAATTAGCTATTGAATGTCTCCTACGATCCAAAGGTTCTATTAGGCAGATGCATTTATCATTCATGAAACATATTTCTCTTGCCTGTTTTACTTTTATATCTAAAATTTTTAAGGCTGAAGCATACCTTAGAGTGTGTCTACAGTAGTGTGAAAGCAACAAAACACAAGTTGTATTGTATGTGAAATTGTGTATTAAATGTAATGATAGAGTGAACTCCATACATGGCAATTAGTTTACAATGTGCTCCCACAAATGCACTCAGACACCATGATTAATGCTCCCTGGAGCATTCAGTCCCTGTAACTAGCTCTCATTGTACTTACCAGAACACTACTCTCCCAGGATATTATGATAAATACCATGTTGGTTCTAATATTGCTCTAAGTGATTAGGTCTGGGTGTGAGGGGGTGGTGAGACGAAATGGAGATAAAATGCAAAGTTTATGTTATGGTTGCTTAGCAAGAAATCAGTAAGGAATCAAGCCAGCAGCTCTTAAGTGAGGTTTTAGGGTGATACAGGGTCATCTCCCTCCAATACACCCCCAGGCCCAGTCTGTGGGAGTTATAATGCTCTACAAGTGCTGTTTCACATTGGTTTTCTGTTGGGTGTGTCTGGAAGCTAAACATCAGAAGATGAAAGAAAGAAAGAGAAAACTAGTCTCCACATCACAGGAGCGGAGAAGTATCTGAAACCTCACCCCTACTCTCCTGGGATAGCCCTTCAGCAGAGGAGGGGCTCTCAAAGAATGACATCATCAACAGACAACCCCATTAGTTGATGGGACTGGTGTGTAGCCAATACCACTGACTCTATCCCAGATGAACACCTCAGCAAGAAACTGATAACATGGTTAGAGAGCACCACCCATGTCAGTAAATATTCACTGTTGTGGACTGCATGTTTGTGTCCCCCAGAATTCATATGTTGAAGCCCTAATTCCCAATGTGATGGTATTTGGGGACGGGGCCTTTGGGAGGTAATTAAGGGAGATGAAGTCGTGAAGGTAAGATTCTTATGATAGGATTAGTGTTTTTATAAGAAGAGTCACCAGACAGTGTTCTCACTATTTCTCTCCCTCTCTCCATGTTTACATATTATGGGAAGGTCATGTGAGGACACAGTGAGGTGACCATCTGTGAGCCAGAAAAAGAGCCCTTACCAGAAATAGAACAGGCCCACTCCTTGATCTTGGACTTCCATCCTCTAGAACTGTAAGAAAATTAGGTTCTGTTGTCTAAGCCACACAGTATAAAATATTTCGTTATGGTAGCCCAAACAGACTAACACACTCACATCCACCATATTGTACTCCTCTTGCGACTAGGTGTCCTGTGTGTTCAATTCCTGAATCCCTAGCCCATAGCAAAGGACTCCCTTCACAAACACACACACACACACACACACACACACACACACACACACACACACAGAAGAAAAAGGAAGAATAGGGAGGGAAAGGCAAAATAAAACTGGAGCCTCATTTTGTCAACTCACATAAGAGTTTTCTGACTTGCTCATTCAACAAACATTTCTTTTTTTTTTATTTTTTATTGTTATGTTAATCACCATACATAACAAACATTTCTTGAGAGCCTGCTATGAACCTGCCAGTCAGCGTGTAGGTGTCGGAGAACACACAGCAAAGACTAAGGCACCGGTGCTGCCTGTGAGTTACTCAGGAACTGTGCCTCGTGACATGCAGGACACCAATGCCTAAGGCTGGGGAGGCTTCTCAGAGATGTTGGCTTTTGGATATGGAGGAGATTCAGGGGAATCCAGGGAGGTTTGGGCCATGAAGAATGGTAGGATTTCAGCAGGAACCACCCACTCTGTGAGACTGTTCTAACTCCTGAGAATCTTGTCTCATTCATGCATATGTCCCACATCCAACAATGAGGGTGCACAGTAGGGGCTCAAGAAACATGGTGGGATGGATGGCTGGGGAAGAGGGCAGCACCAGGAGCACCATAGTGGTGACAATGCCTGGCCCAAGTTGAGAGTCTCTGTTTAACTATGTTTGTGCTTGGGAGGCCTGAAGACTCAGAGGGGATGAAGCTGAAAAGGCAGGGGGGTTTAGATGTTCTCTGAAGGTGTGGATATTTTTGGAGTGGGAACTGGCAACCATTACAAAGCAGAGTAACATGGTCAAAGTTGAGTTTTAAGAAAATTAATCCAGTCACATTTAAAACAGATGAATTCATAATTATATGTCTCTAATAATCATTTCACCTCTCTGGGCTTCCCTTTCCCGATTTGATGCAGGAAGGTCCCTCCTTTCTGGGTAGTACTATGATGTGAGACATGGTCATGACAGGCTGCATGGAAGCCCTGACACTTACTGACTGAACAGGATTGAACGGAACTGCCCAAGGGGAGAGGAGAGAAGACCCCAGTGGCCAGGAGAGAGCGCCCCGTGAGGCCTGCCTGGCCGTGGAGATGCTCTTACCAGTAGTCCAGTTTCAGAGCAACAGCTTCCAGGCCACCAATCTGACAGTAAGGCTCCCGGTTGGAGAGTTCATACAGCTGGATTTCACGGTTTCTGTTCAAAGATCAAGCACCGTTGGAGTAAATTTAAATTTCCCACTTCACTTTCGTAGAACAGTTTTTATATTTCATGGATTCCACAAAGCAGAGACACCTGGCCAGTGAAATATTTACCCTACTGAGCAACCCCTCTGGCAGAACATGAGGTCTCCCAACCCTGTCCCACCATCTGGGGACATCTCTTCTGCCTGCTTCTAAACCACCCTGGCTTATCCTTCTCCAACAGGAGGCTGGCACAGCTTTCAACAATATGAGCTCTGGATGCCAGTAGTTGGGGCGTCAGATCCCACCTTACCACTTAGTCCCCTCATCTGTGAAATGGGGATCTCCTGTCTTTCAGGAGAGTTACGAGGATTGAACAAAAGGATGTGTGAGAAAGTGATTAGTTTCTTAGGACTTGCTAAGGGCTCACAAATGTGAGCTGTTGTTTATTGCAGATACTAAAGATGGTTAGATCTACAAAGTGCAGGGCCGAGGCCTCTTTCTAGAAACTAAAGGGTTAACTCAGTGCTCCCCTAATTTCCCACCTTTCCAACCTACACTCTTGACCCCTTCCCTCCTGTGTTAGTTTGTCTATCTTGGAGCTGATTAAGAGAAGAACAAGTTTGTGGCTATAAGAAACACAATTTACTGCTTGACCTATTGGTATAGAATGAACAGAGGTCACTCTCTAAATTCCAAAATGTTGCCTTTCCCTCAGTGTAAAATGTCTTTTTTCCACCTCCTTTTTCACCTGCCATGCAGCTCTAGTGGTTCCTGCCTCCAGATGTCATAAGCCTTGCCTCATCTTCTGATTTGTCAGCTCAGAGATTCTCTAGTAGGTTACTGAGCAATCTCTGAACTGCTATGTGTGCAAAAGACATGATAATTAAATTATTGGGCATGGCTTTTAAGCCAAACTGGGCTGAATGTATACACTCAGGCTTGTTGCTTTTTAGTAGTTAATATTAATTATATCAATACATCTTACTATATAAACAAATATATTTTAATTATTAGATTTAGCATTAAACTTAATTGTATTTAATAGCCTCGATTATCTGAGGTTGGGTTAACTGTTGGTTCATTAAAGTGGTGGAAGACTAAGGAACCAGGGGCCTCTGGAGGAGACCAGGTGGAGAAGAGAGACCCCGAGCTTGGGGGGAGTCAGGGGATTCCCTGTAGCAGGGCTGTGGGCATCCCCTTCAAGCTCCACCCTTTCCCTTAGCCATGCCCCCAGAGCCCTGTGTTTAGCAGCTTGACTCCTCAGTCTCCCAGCCTTGGATCACAGTTCACACCCCTACCCCCACACCCCCTCCCTTGTGTTGAACTTTTTGCTTTATCCTTGATTTGAAATTTTTCAAATTTCCTTCCCACCAAGCCATACTCCCTTCGCTGTGGCCCATTACTGAGGTTAACCAAGCAACCCAGGATGATGCCTGTTCATTTTTCTTGTGTTGACATGATCAAAACCTTCAGGATCTTCCTTCCCAGCCTCAGATCCATTCTTCTGAGGTTCTTCAGCTATAAGCATTATCTTTTTACTATAGATTTTATTTTTTGAATCAGTCCAAAGCACTTTGGACTGAATTTTGGTGGATAATAAAATAGGCATATTATTTTGAATCTGAAATAAAATGTGCTAAAAGCTCACAAGACTGATTTTTTTCCCCATTGGCCCATACCTTCACTCTGGAAGTATTCCAAAAGAGGGCCTCTGTCAGTGTTGGAGGCAATGACATCACTGCAATGGGCCAAAAAGACCCTAACTTTGCAAAGCAGCTTTGACTGATATTCTGAGTTCTAGCATGTTTTAAAAGGGGCTTCATGACTTTTAAATACCACAGATGTGTATGTGTCTGTGTAAACTGACACATGGAAATGAATTTCATAACACAAGGACTGTTTACTTCCAACTGAAGAGCTGCAGGCACTTACCCAGTCCCTATGATCAGTTTGTTGTACTGTGGCATGCTGATGACATCCGTCACCCACCTGGGCTTCTGACTCATGGACTTGTCCTAATGTGTTGAAGAGTGCAAATAAACAAGAATATGCCTTTTTAATGATAAGACAGTTTGACAATAAGCATGTTCAAGTTTAGAGATTTTTTTAAAAAACTGATGCTCTCCTTCAAGTATACAGAACTTGCTAGATTCAAAGAGCCACCTTTATTACCTCGCTCTAGGGAGGGCTTCTTTGGCAGCCTGAGGGGTTTAGGATAACTGTAACTTCTAGTGTAGATGATAAGTTTCCGGAGGGCCGAGATGGGTTTCTATATCCCCAGTACCCAGCAGAGAGCCTAGGCTATGTCAGGGCCTCAACTATTGTTGAATGAGATAATAAAAAAAGAAATGACTTTAAAGACAGGATATATTCTGGAACAGGTCAGGCATTTTTATTCCTATCCTAAGTCTACTTCCCAAATGCTTTTTGCCTTCTGAATTTCTGATTCTGTGATTCAATAAGAAGACAAACCCTAACATCGCTGCCTAAACTGAAATAATCATTAACAGGAAAAAAAACAATGGGAAATTCTTTTCTGTTTGTGATTCATTAAGACATATGATAAATTACATGATGGAGTCATGTGTAATTCATTACTCCATCTGATTTTAGAAGCAAAATGAAGCATTATCTTGTACTACATATAGAGATCATATTTTATTTGCATTCTATAGACTAGCAAAAGCCAACATGAATATGTTACATTCAAGGACACAATTTCTGTAATCATACCACTTGAAGAGCAGTTTAAAATAGCAAATAAAATCAAACCGGAGCACTCAGCATCCTTATCAAATGAAAATCACATACAAAAACTCTCTTTCTTCTTTTCAACTTCAGCTGCAGGGACCAGAAATAAATTACTCCATCTTCTCTGATCATGATTAAGGTGTCATCAGGCATAGAGAGAACGCGCAGCACTGGACCCCCATATGACAGCCCCTGCAGCACAGCAGGCAGCTGGAAGGAAACCTCTTTCTGTCGGGCTAAAGCATCCGCTTGCTCTGAATACTCTAGCTGTAGATGCATGCAGAAGCCATCCTGGAGGATAAAGGAAAATTCATTAAACATCTACTATATTCCTTTCTTTCAAAACTTCTCTTTACCATCAGAGTATAGGTAATTCCTTCCCTGGACACGACATAATTATTAGTACTCACTAGTTCATCGGCATGCCAAAAACGCAAGGGTAATAACTGGGATGTGTCTGTTCAGTTGAGGTTGGAAGTCTGTTACCCAGCTTGGGCTCCCTTCCCCACCCCCAGTGTGTCTCTCTCTAAAGAAGATGGTGGTGGTGATGATGATGATGATGATGAGGAGGAGGAGGAGGAGGAGGAGGAGGAGGATAGTGGTGATGGTTGTGATTGACAGTATACCATGTTCTATGCAACACAGACCTTCCTTTTAATTCTCATGATAACTGTATGAGATAGATACTATTGTTCTTCCCTTTTACAAATTTGGAAAGGTTAAATAGCTTGCCTAAGATCAAACAGCTAGTAAGTGGCTGGCCAGAGACTGAAGTCCTTATCGGTCAGACTGCACAGTTCCCACCCACCAGTATATGCCTCATTTAGAATCTCAGCTGTACACCTAGGGAAAAGAAGTCTGCAGTCAGAGGGAAAGGGTGGGGATACTGTAGGGCCTGGGAACATTTCTTTTCTCTCCACTTCCCCCAAAGCCCCACTTCATTAGAGCCTCCCTTCTCTTCTCTGGAATCCTGACTTCCTATTCAAGTCAGATGATAATGTAAACACTTGCATTTGATTTGGTTGGGGAATTGGCCCAAGGTCTGAATAGAGGTATCTTACTGCTCAAGTTGTCATTTTAGAACTTAATTCATCCTGGAACAATAGAAGGGCACTGACAGACACAATGGCAGAGAATGTTTAAAGCAGATGTCTCAGCTCCTTATTATCACACTACTCAAATTGGGTAATATTAATAATGATGATGATGATGGTATTTGTTGAGAATTTACTTTGTGACTCTCCTTGTTCTAAATACTTTACATGTGTTAACTGATCTGATTATTATCAGGTGTTTTTTTGCTCGTAGAATTTCTTGCTCACTGGTGTTTCATGTTTGCTTTGGGGTAAGGTGACAAATGTATCCTTTATTCCCTAGTTTTAGGAAACCCTTCTTAGAACTTGACTTAGCTACTGAAATCCCTAGTTAAACTATTCCAAGTATAATCTGACATTACAAAATTTGAAAATTGTGAATATGCATATCCCTTTGGTTCAATTTCAAGTTGACAAAAGCACTGAGGGGCATAGCATACTTCAGAAAGGAACAGGTTCAGAACTAACATTTTATGTGTTTTCTTTACTAATCTCAAAATTTGATTTAGAAAATATAACCCAACTTACCCATTGAATTCTGCCCACTGATTCATAGTCTATTTTCATGAAAAGTTGTTCTGTTTGTTCAATATTCTGGAAAGGAAAAAAGTAAGTCTATTTATAGACTGCACAGGAGTAAACTCTTCCCCAAGTTGTGGTGGGAGAGGATGCAGAAGGAGGGGAAATCTTAATTTTTCCAATTTATGAATTTTATATTAAAACGCATAATACTCAAAGATCTTTGGAATGCCTGCTCCAAAACATTAATAGGACTGTTAGTTGGAGGTCAGTGTGCTGACCCCAAAACTCTTCTCCCCATGAGAGACTGGGGATCCTAGAACTTCTATTTTTGAAAGGAAGCCCTAATGAGCATGAAGAGTTTGTGTCTCTCAGTCCCTGTGCTCCCAGGAGATCCCACTCCACCCTGGTCAATTCCAGCTAAAAGACTGGACTGTGCTTAGGGACCCCACTTTAGATAACAGCAAAACAAGTTCAATGGTTGGGTGGTAAGGGTATGCCCTTAAGTGTATCCCAAAAGAAGAGAACATGCAAGTCATGAAAATTATTTTTGAGTATTAGAAAGATTATTCTATGAGAGGGAGAGTAGATTACTTCTGTGTGGTAGTAGTAAGCAGATTATAAAATGGACCCAATAATCCCTACTTCTTGGTATTCATGGCCTATGTAATCCCCTCCCCTTGAGTAGCTTGCTCGTAGCCAATAGAATACCTAATGTAGAGGGTTATGCCATTTCCATGATTAGATCCTAACTTTGGCCTAACAGACTCTCTCCTTGGTTGGCTTTGATGAGACCAGCTACCCTGTTGTGAGCTGCCCTACAGAGAGGCCCACATGGCAAGGAACTGAGGACAGCCTGTGGCCAACAGCCAGCAAGGAACTGAATCATGGCAACAACCATATGTGCTTGGAAGTGGATCCTTCCCCAGTCAACCTTTCAGATAAGACCTGAGCCATTGTTACCACCTTGTTGCAGCCTCATGAGACACCCTGAAGCAGAGAACCTAGCTAAGCCATGATTGGATTCCTAACTTCTAAAAACTGTGAGATAATAAATATGTATTTGTTTTAAGATACTATGTTTGTGGTAATTTGTTACGGCGGCTCAAAAGAATAGAAATTGAGCTAATGGGTAGAATGTCAATAAAAACCAATTTCAGCTCATAAAGGGGAGAAAAGTTTCTAAGGTCAGAGCTCTCTAGCCTTGAAATGAGTTGCCTTGTATGGCATTATGTTTTCTTTAGCTGAGGGTATTCAAGCATATGCTGACTCATGGCTTAGCAGAGAAGAAAATCTGAGCATTGAAGGGGCTATATACTAAGCGACCTCTAAGGTCCTTTCAAACTCCAAGATTCTGTAATTTCAGGAATGTACATAGAAGGTAGCTTCAACAGAAATAGTAAGGTTATATGTCTCTTTGGGAGAGTGGGATGTTGGCTTTTCTCTTATAAGTCCCATGGGTATTTGCCATTGTGTAGTAATAGCAGTAAAAGGGAGAAAATAAGATGAGGCCTGATGTTCAAGACACCAAGGCTTTGCCTCTTGGTGAATCAACACTCAGTGTCAGTGTAGAGTTTGTAAGGAAAGGCCCTGGCTGTGGACTTCAGCTCAGCCCTACTTCCCTCTAAGTCATGCTCAGATGGAGACATACCATACTCCTGGGGGAGGCTGACAGTGCAGACTTCACCATGGCAACTAGACAGTACCATGCACATAATATCTAACAAATGTTTTTGAAATGAATGTCCAAACAAACCAAAACACCCAGAGGGATGACCTCAAGAAGAGTGTAGGTCCACAGATGGAATGGAAACAGAAAAACTCAGGATGAAAACAATCACAGCCTGGGCTTAGGATGCCCACTCAGACCACCTTGTCACCACAAAGCAGAGCATGGGAGAGTTTTGGGTAGGCCTGGGCATCTTGGAGCTCCAGACAAGGTACATCAGACAAGGGTCATGCAGTGTCACAAGCCATGGCAAGAGTTGGCCTTCAGGCAGGTCATGCGCCATCAGATGGTCTCTCTTTGGGGGTGGGGGGCATGTGTCTATGCATAAATAGGCTCTGCCCAAGGTACTGCTTTCTCAGCATGATTATGTGGGATTCTGAGGAACATTGGACTACTTCCTCCACACATTGATTCATTCATGGAAGAAACACAAGTTGAGCGCCAATGGTATGCCCAGTCCTGTGCCAGATGCTGAGGCCTCAGAGCTGAAAGATGTGTTACTTGCCCTCGCAGCATTCACTGTATAGTGGGGTCACAAACAAGCAAACAGTGTAATACAAAATGATTAGTTCTATGCTACAGGTAACTACGGACCACTACCAAGTTGAAAGGAGAGGCATCTATTGACTTCTAGGAAATTTAGGATAGACCCCTTCGAGTCCACAATGGCTGCACTGCCTTAACATCATTCATTCATTCAACATTTATTGGGCACCTGCATGTGCCACACATGGTGCTAGATTCTGGGAATATAAAAAAAAGAATCAGAATTCAGAGAGAGTCATTACTTAAGCCAAAAAAGGGGAGGAGAGCATTCTAGGCAAAGGGAACAGTGCATGCAAAGGTACAGAAATAAGAAAATAGGGCATTACCTTCTCTTCTCCCCGCCAAAACCAAGGGCTTAGTGGACTTGGGAACTAAGACTCCTGTTCCTGTAGATGCCCCCTCTGTCTAAAATGCTCACCCTATACATTGTGCTCTTCCTAAATGTTATTCTTTAGTGCCCCCTCCCCTTTTTGGCATTGAATTGTGACTAAGTCAACGTTTCCTAGAAAGAACAAAGGAGATACTTCCTGGTTTTTAGCCAGTACTAGAAAATGAAACCCCAGAATAATGGAGAAGACATGGGGTTGTTCGTTGTTCCTCTTAGCTATTCTTCCTTACTCAAAAACATACAACTTTTAACTGGATACATGCCTCCTCCGAAAAAAGACCACATTTACCTGCCAACTTTTGCAGCTAGATATGACACATGATTAATTTCTGACTAAAAAAGTTAAAAATGTCACAGGCAGCTTCTGGGAATTGTCCTTAAAGGGAAGGAGTAGATCTCTCTTTGCCCCTTCTCCCTTCCTGCTGCCTGGGATGAGAGCATGTCAGCTGGAGTCCGAGCAGCCATCTTGAGCCATGAAGAGGAGTCCACATGCTGAAGGTGGGATAGAAGCCAAGCAGAACAAGTCTTCCGGATGATTTCATGAAGCCCTTTGACCACCTGACTTTTTACATGAGAGAGAGAAAATCTTTATCTTTCTTCAGGCTTGGTGGCTTAGCATTTTCTGTCACTCTGTAGATGAACCTAATCTTAACTGACATATTGTGCATTAGTTGCAGACCAGAGTTTGAATCCCAAATGCCTTCCTTAGTAGGGACTTCAGGCAAGTTATTCAGATTCTCTAACCCTCTGTCTTTTCAGTTACAAAATAAGAATAATGCCTTCCGAATGACGTTATTATGATATTCTGGAGACTAATGAAATGAAATATGAAAAGATCCTAAGACAGTGTGGTCACATAGTCAAAAATCAATTAATTATTTGATAAATAAGCAAAGAAAGACATGGCTTCATGGATCCTCAGTGATATACTGTATAAAATTAAGCTTAGTACAAATGGTCCCAAATAATCTGATCTTTGTCCCACATTCCTTTGCACACATTTCCCTAGATGTATGTAACAGACATCATGCTGGCCCTTGCCTTTGTGCCTCTAGGAATGCTGTTTCCTCTTCTTGAAAGCCTTGCCTGTCTGTCCCGCCTTTATGGAGCAATTCCCTTCATCCCTCAAAACTCAGCCCAAGATTTATCTCCTTCAGGCCTGACTCACTGGTCTGGTTGACATGCCTCCATGACACCCACGCTTAATTCTAGAGTGGCTCTAGGCCCTATCTTGACTGACTGTGTGCCACAGGGGCTAAAATAAAGCCTCTTAGTAAATATTTACTAAGTGAATATTGCCCCAGTAAAGATTTGTTGAATGAATGAATGAATGAATGAATGAATGAGAGGATAAGGGAATGAGTGGCTGACTAGGTGGGCAGGCATTCTAAAAATATAGATAATTAGACTGCTTTGGTTAAAAAGATCTAGAATGTTGGCAAAACACCCAAGGATTTATCCATTTAAGACACTCCTCTCTCTTCCCCCAACAGAAGTTCTTTGTGTAGTATTGCACAAATAGAGGAAAGACTGTTTAAAAATAGGTTCCATTTAATGATCACTTCTCATTGTAGAAGAAATTTTAAACACACCTAAACTTGTACTGTAGCCATTGAAACTGTGGGCTTTGCACTTAGAAGGGGCATGTTTTTGTTCAAATCCCAGGGACAAGATCAAAGTGCTTTACCTTGAGTTTGTTTTTATATATAATTTAAGATGCAATCAGGAAACCTTAGCAAGTAGTGCTTAAAGAGCTTCTCCTTTTATAATACATATTTTATCTGAGGAATATAACCTTATTTATTGCTATGGACTGAATATTTTTGTCCCCCACACCCCAATTCATAGGTTGAAGTCTAAAGCCTGATGTGATGATATTAGGAGGTGGGGCCTTTGGGAGGTGCTTAGGTCATGAGGATGGAGCCTTTGTGAATGTGTGCTCTTAGGAAAGAGATCCCTCAGCGCTCCCAAGTCCCTTCTGCTACATGAGGACACAAGGAGAAGTCTACAACCTGGAAGAGAGCCCTCACCTGACCCTGATCTCAAACTTCTAGTCCCTAGAACTGTGAGGAATAAATATTTGTTATTTGTAAGCTACCCAGTTTGTGGTATTTTGTTATAGGAACCTGAATGGCCATTCATTAAGATTTCATATTCTGAGCTAACAACTGGGTTAACCAATATGGCAGAGGGAATGTTTAAACTATTTCATTCCAGCAGATCGGGTGTGGAAGGGAGGTCCATGCTCTTTGGAAACAACAAATATGCAGATCTTCCTCAACTTTTGATGCAATACATCCTGATAATCCCATTGTAAGTTGAAAATAACATAAGTGGAAAATGCATTTAATACACCTAACCTACCAAACATCATAGCTTAGCCTAGCCCACCTTAAATATGATCAGAACATT